CCTAACTTGCAAACAAGAAATATGTGTGGGAAACACATTTCTGACAGTATACACTCCAAAATGTTAATAACAGTTAACAGTGGGCACCACAAATGGTGAACCTAGTCTTTTCCTGGTTCATCTGTATCTAATGTTTTCTCCCTAACATCAATTACAGGAATTATAATTCTTCACAACAGCAGCAAAATCAACTGCACTAAGGTAATCGTATCTTGCCATGCCCCTGTGGTAGACATGGAGAGTTAGTCATAGGTCACTACTCATTTTCCCCACAGTTGCTTTCCTTACTGGGAATCTAATTCCCAGCAGGCTTTGTTTTTGCTTTGGTTTTGGGTTTTTTGTCGTGTCCCGTACACACACACACACACACACACACACACACACACACACACACCAGACAGGGTTTCTGTATAGCATTGGCTGTCTTGGAACTCACTCGTCAAACCAGGCTGGCCTCTAACAAGATCTGTCTGCCTCTGCCTCCTGAGTGCTGGGACTGAGGCAACTGCAACCACAGCCCGGCTGGGAAGCTGCCTCTCATCAAGCTTTGTGAGAGACAAACTGCATGCATCCTGCATGCATTGGCTCCCATCATCACAGAGCAGAGTGGATACGGCCTGCATAGGATCTTGCCTCATCTTACAGCCCTGCAGGTCCCTCATCAGCCCCGACCTGTCCCTAGGAAGGGCAGAGAAAGTGCCAGAGCCATAAGATTCTCTTCTTCGGACTGGCTCTCTGCAGACAGTAGAGGAAGTGAACAGAGGACAAGCCAGCAAGGAAGGAACACCAGAAAAGGGAAGGCTTGGTGCAATAGACCAGCTGGCTGATATCAGGGAGCAGGACGCACTAGCTAGGGGCTCCTCACCTGACAAGCAGCTCTCAGGAAGGCAGACCACATCCGGTCCCAGGAGTTCCCAGGCCCTGTGCACCCAAGGAACCAAAGGAAGCCTCATGAGACCTGAAGTGGCCTCCTGAAAGAGCAGGAAGGAAAAGAGCCCACCTTCTGGAACCTCCTCCCCAGACTTGGTGACTACAGAACAGTCCTTTCTTAGCTCTAGGTCTCCTGGCCTGGTAGTGTGGGCAAGGAGAAAGGTGAGGACCTGCCCAGATCTCAATTCTGTGAATCTGTGGGACTTCCTCACAGAAGGCCTGACAGGAAGAGGAAGGGGCGAGTCATCCCCACCCAGCTCCCAAGGAGCCCCCTCCTCTTCCCCTCAGCAATGTTCCCACTGCTATTTTTAGAACAGTCCACAGGAAGCAGAGTGTCTCTACCAGCCCCCCCGCCACACTCCACACGCGGTCCGGCTCCAGGTAAAACATAGCAGCCCATTCATTCCCTTCCAGCCAGAACGTGCCCAGAATGTGTAGACATGCCTGCTGACTAGATAATCCCTGCACCATCAGCCCATTACAAATGGGGCTAGCTGCTCTATCTCCATTACGGTCCAGGTCAGGGAGCTTCCTAATGATTGTGCAATTGCTGTGCGAAAAGGGCTCTGTGTTCTAAGACCATCGAATCCCCTCCGCAGACCTTCAAGCCACCAACTGCGTACCCTTGGCGAGGTTCTAGTACCTATCCTGGTCTTGGTCTGTACAAATTGGCTTGTTAAGCTGTTGCTCTTCCTGGAGGACAAAGGGGGCTTTTTGGTTCCACATTCAAGGATTCTATGGTTTGACCAAAATCCCACTTACTCTGCATACAATACACTATATTCTCCACTTCAAGATATATATGTTGGGTTACATTCCTAAAGGCTCCTGGGAGTTGAATGTGAGTCTCAGAATACATTTGCCATTTAAGACTGCTGTAAGTGATGGTCCACCTCCTAGGCTCGCCCTTAATGCTCTGGCCAGGAAGGCCACTAGAATACTGTTTTCTTGCAATAATGACGCTAACCCCAAGTGGGCGGAAGTGCTAGTGTGCAAAAGAATCCTCAATAGAAATTATCTTTATTTGCTTTGTCTGAGCAATGAGTGGCCGATATCAACAGCAATGGAGAGTCACCAGCAGCCTCTGACAGGGTCTGCAGAACACACTGGAAACTGAAAGAGGTCAGGTTGTCTGTCTGCTAGAAAGCGAGCCTGAGGCTCGGTGGGCAAGAGGGCTGGTTGAAGAGTGCATGGGCACGCAAACATGCATGAAGCCAAGCGACAGTCCAGTGCACATTGAGCACCGTGAAGGGCAGAGGGCTGGAGAGGGAAGAGCGGGAAACGATCCAGGGCAGCCTGGAAGAGGAACCTCAGGATGGGGAGGAAGTAGGAAAGGGCTTCTCACATAGGTGTCTGTAATTAGGATTCCTTCTGCTATGAGCCAATAAGATTCATCTGTGAAATCTAAGACAGCTGCCTTCTTTCCTTAAACCTGGTCCCAGAGTCCCTCGAGGTGCTGGCTCTTGCCCAACCTTCCTTTGGTAATTCCAGTGTCAAGAGTCTGGGCTTGGGTATTCCAGGCACAATGACTATGATAAGAAACCTGAGTTGGTGTCCTGCTTTTTGAAGGGTCTACCTACTGTATGCCAACCATTATGGTCACTTCCTAGCAGCCCGCACTCTGGAGAACCCTGGAGACTACCTGTATTCAGCGCCCCCCTTCCCCCCTTTTTTTCTGATAAGGAAAACAGATGATCAGAAAAGTGAAGTGATTTGTTCAAGGTCACACAGTAAGTATTAGGTAAGTCACTATTCGAGACCAGGACTTCTGAATCCCTACTGTGGTTTTCTCAGAGGCAGGGGGCTTGTGGAGGGGGGAGCCCTCCGACTTAGAGAATCAAGAAGCTATGATCAGATTTTCTTCCCCACTCCCCCCACCCCCCAGGATATCTGCATGAGTTCGGGGATAGGGTTTAACCCTGGCCAGATTGCATCATAGATTAAGTCAGGGTGTGGGCCTGCTGGTATCTGCAAAGCTATAGAGAAAGAGTAAAACCTCTGAACCAAAACCTCAGCTCCGGTTCCGGGGCTCTAACACCAGTTTGCTCATGACCCTGGGCAAAAAAGTCACTTCTCCTTTTCAGACCTGTTTCTTCATCTCCATTATAGAATAGAAGGAGGGTCCCACCCACCAGCTGAATTCAGTCCTCTGACTGCTACAGAGCATCTCCTAAGAGCCAGTCAACAACAGAGCAGAACGTGAAATAAGGTACGCCCTCCACTTGCTCCTAAGGAGCTTGCAGGCTTGTGGGTGAGGTAGAACTTGCTGCCTGGTTCTCCATGCTCTAAGCATGAATGCACTCCTCTGGCAAGCACAATGTGGGTGGGGAAAGCGGCCTCTGAGACATGCCTCAGAAAGGGTGTGTCACAGAGGTGCTAAGCCATGGTCTCCCTAGGGACATTGAAAGTGGACAATGGTGTCAAGGAACAGCCTGCCCAAGGAAAGTCACAAGAACTTTTGGGAGGAACCCTCCCACCCATGGAGCCAGGAGAGCCTGGACAGCCATTCAACAAGACTGTGACCACCCAGCCCTGTCAGTCCTTCCTAGCTGGAATGGATGGTCTGTGGTTGCAAGGAAACAATTGACCCCAAACCTTCATCTGCAAACTAGGTAGAGCAGGAGTCCATTCATAAGGGGATAACATACCACATCAGGCTCTAGTGAGGATCAAAAGAGAAAGCAAAGGTCAGAGGTTAGGTGTCATGCCTGGCTCACATAGGAGCGTCTGGCAGATCATCGGATGGGGGATGGGAGCCTCTTCAGAGACTAGCTTGGAGCAAAAAGAAAGGTAAGAGCCCAGAGGCAGGTTGTTCTCTGTTCCTTAAGAGTTAAAAGAGAAAAGAAAAGAAAAGAAAAGAAAAGAAAAGAAAAGAAAGAAGAAAAGAAAGATGGCTGCGTCTGAATGTGAGGCAGTCTGCCCTCAGCCAGGCCAGTAGTTGAGGGAGGAGGGCTGGAGGTTGGGAGGCAGCTGGAAAAGCTGTGGAGCTGGAGAAAAGAATGCTCAGTGGAGAGGGAGTGGGGGAGGGGGGCTGAAATCTGATCCCTTTGATTCCCAGTTACTTAGAGCTGATGGTCTAAAACCAGCGGATTAGCAAAACTCAGGCTCAGATCCTGGTGGAGGCAGGCGAACCCTCTCCACTGGGTTTGAGTTAAAGTCTCCAATCTTCTGTACCCATGCTCAGACTAGCAGGCCCGAGCCTAAGCTACTCTTCCCTGCCTCTGGTGCCATTCCTTTACTGCCAGGGGCCCCCCCATGATGGTGACCAATGATCCTGCTGAAAGCCAGACTGAGAAGGGGAAGGTATGTAATCTCCGGGGCCTCCAGAGAGCTAGTCTCAGGAGCACAGCTCTACCTTTCACTTCAGACTTCTGTTAAATCCTGTGAAGATAGGTTTGCTCGGGTTTTTTTCCCCCTCAAACCTGGGCCACCGCTCAGGAAAACCAATGCTCCACCTAGTGGCAAATAATGTGTCTAAGTTAATCTGTCCCCAAAGCACTCTTCTTGGACCAAGACGTCTGACACACCCATAACTGCCACCTGCCTCTCCTGAAAGCTCCTGGATGATCTTTCTTACTTCTTTCTGTCCCTCAAAACACTTTTGCATCCACACAGAACAATGCACTGGGCCTCTCACTGGCTGTGTGACACAGGTTAGGTCACCTAACTCCTCAGAAGCTTTCAGGGTTTTTTGTTGTTGTTGTTCATAAAATGAGTCTGTGTAGGGGAGACAAAGCTCGGGACCCCACTACCATCTCCACAGTGCATGCCCACTGTGGGGTTCTCACTGAAGGTATGCATCCACATGGCAAAGCTGCCCATGCCTCTGTAGAACTTTGTCAGTGCCTCAGAGTTGACTGTGATTAGTAAGGGTTTTGATGACAGAAGTCAAAGGGGAAATTAAAATTAATAATAATAATAACAATACATGTACAAATAAGTATCACCGTTCTCAGAAAGTCTGTGTAATCTCAGCTCCCAAAGGGCCAAAAGACTCAGGCATGAGGGCTTAAATGAGAGATGAGCTTCAAAGGACTCAGGGCCAGAGACACAGAAAAGGGCTCCAAGAACACACTGGAGACTAAAAGAGGCACTTTGTATTCAAATCTCACAGCTGGCCTTTCAACAATAAAGTGGTTGTGTTACCATCCATCCTCCCAGCTCCTGGGCCAGAGACACCACCCAAGACAATTAGCCCATCAGGAAAGAAGTCATTGTGTGCTTCTTAGTATGATTTATGTGACAGGGAGGAGCCCGGCCATGTTTCCCGTGATTATGACCCTCAGAGGCAACGTTGAGAGCCGTTCATCCTCTTGAACAGCTGGGATGGACTGAAGAGTGGAGGCCACCAGGTCATATTTCATCTTCTTGGGACCCATGACACCAAATTAATTGTCGCATTGATTCATGAAGCAAGATGGCCATAGTGCTGTGGCTCACCACAGTCACTGAGCAAGCTAGCCCAGGACCTGGCAGGAGTACCAGTCCTCTTCCCCATCAGCCAGCAGGCCTGGGAGCTTGATGGGAGAATCTGTTCTACTCAGGAGGAGCTTATTGGGGAGAACGGCCCATATGCAGGGTTGGTGTTATGTTCAGATCCTCCATTTTTCTGAGCCAAGAGTTCTTCTTGTCTTCTGTACCCATCTGTCAGACAGAGGTCGGTTCGCAGACCCAGGCGAGGCGAGATTACTGGCTTCCCACACAGGTGGTTCTCCTGTGCTTCGTGACCTTACGATCATTAGGTGAGAGAATCAAATGAAATCAAAGTGTAGTTTGCTGTCTGCACAGACCCAGCTGCTCAGGTTCACCCTCTGGGCTGATCTTTGGCTGGTGTTGCAGTGCTACATGTCCCTTGAACCAAGCCAATCTTTCTTCACTGGGCTGGGCATTAGCCTGATTCCTGCAGACTCATCCCATTCCCTGTTAGACTGATAACTCAGCATGGCTCACTTTTCCAATGTTGGAAGAGAAATGGAAAATAAGGGACATATTCTCTCCCGGATTACCATTTAGGGGTTCAGGTAGCTCTGGCAGTTTAGCAAACTCAAAAGAGCACAAGAATCTTCCTTAAGGTCCTTATGACTGAGGTCGGGGGCTTCTCTGGCCTTAGCCATTACTTCAGCTTTCGGTCTCTGAGCCTTCAGTACCTAAACCTACAAATACTCTGTAGCATACGGCCCTTGTCCCTCTGATCTACAGCCTTGAGATCTCTACAGTTAGAAAAGGGTGAGCTCCCTAGCCCAGAGCCCCAGCTGGGTGGATGGGAGTGAGCCCAGCTCTCATCACGGGGCCTGGGCAGGACTCCTTTCACCTTGTCTCTGTGAAGGTTGCTGAGCTGCACCTGGCTCTGGCCACTGGCCCTTGGCCCTTAGAAGCCCTACAGAAAGCAAAAACGGGGAGTTCTCAGAGTGCAAGGCCCCAGCTTCCTTCCCTTAGCATGAAAGGTAGAACAAACTCAGGTGATTCTCTGCAGAGCCTGTGAGCAGGGGAAATGTGAACATTCCCATCTTGGGAAAATTAAGTTTTACTGTTCTGGTACCCGTGGATATTCCCAAAAGCTCAACACTGCCTCCTGCTCTGGCCTGAGCAGAGGAGTCCCTAGGAGGGAGACCTCAAATCTCATACCACCAAGATAGCAAGACCCAGTGAAGCACACAGGCAGGCAAGGGTGAGCAATCATTACTCCTTATCCCAGAGCCTACCTTTCCAAAGCCTACCATCCCGCACCCTCTAGAACAAGTCACCAACATCCCTCACCCTGGAGGCCTGAAGGGGAACCCTAACCAGTCTCACAGCCACTTGGGGCCCTCCTAACTGCAATCTGATCTTGTAGACATGCACCAGAGGAGTCTGTGACACCCTTCCTCAAGCCTGCCTTCCTGTACTGTAGGAAGGAATCCACAAAGCAGTCACCATCTATGTCCTGAATGGCCTGGCTCCATCATCCTCCTCACAAAGCTGCAGCTGCGCCAGCCTCCCTCTGTTCCTCAGCACACCATGCTCCCTCCTCCTCATCTCTTCCTGTGCTTTGTCCACTGCCTGGAATGCTCTCTCTAAAGTCCTTGGCTGGCTAGCTCCTTTCCAGCTCACAGGCCTCAGCTCGCACTGCGCCTTTCCCCTTCACACCCCACACATATCGACTAGACATAATGCCCTGTCTGAAGACATCTGTGATGTTTCTGTCCAGGCTCTTGCAGTGTGTGGTCATGTATCGGTGTTGGTTTATTTGGTGTTCTCTCCCTACCGGGACGGGGAGGGCTGGGATCTTGATGGGAGCACAGTATCCTCTAGCACATACACCAGCACAAAGGAGATGGCCCCCAGTAACCGCTGACTGAGGAAGTAAAGGTGTCCATTTGAAATAGGAGTGGGCAGAGGAGATGTCTTCCGGCAGGAATGGGTCACAGGCATCATCTTCTATTCGAGTGCCCTCTTTCCTGCTGTCCCCAGGTGCCATTTAGCCTCCTAAAGGGAGCTTGCTTTGGAGTTTCTCCATCCAGGATTTCCTGGTAACCAGTCTGCACAAACCCTCATACCACTGCTCCTCCTGTTGCCAGGTCCACAAACACCCATGGGACCACTCCCTCCAGATGACCCTAGGCCCACCATCTTGGTCTTCTGTTTTGGGTCCAGTTGAGATGAGGTTACTGTGTGATAGGGGAAGCCCCAAAGTTGCCAGAAGCATAGTCCCGCCCTTGGGCTTGCTCAGCCAATCAGAGTCTGTCCTGATGAGGTAAAGCTTCTATCCTGGGTGGCATTGATGGAGGTGACTGGCCCCATCTCCTGCTGGAGAGAGCCGTAAGGGTGAAGTTTCTGTGGAACCAGACAGAACTGGAATTAGCTCGCTGTCCACTCTGATCAGGACTGCCTGAGTCCACAACCTGACTGTGCTTCTTTCTAAGACACTCAAATAGTCCCTGGCATCTCCAAGACCCATCTCTAGCTGTCCCAAAGGCAGCGTCACATCTGGAAGTCACATCTGGAAGTTGTACCACCAGCAGAAAACCAAAGAGGCCTCAGTTTCCCTTCCAGGGCCCTGAAATCTGGCAGGTGGCTACTGCGATATTCGGAAAGAGTTGTTAGATGTGCTTGGGTACCAGTGTCAACCTCAATAAACAGTGATACCAATAAATTGTCCTACACAGTCATGCTAAGTCATGAAAGTCACATCAGGTAGTTCACTGGGGACCTCCTGCGTGCCACAGCACCCTGCACAGCCCCAGGTTCTCCCACTATCACATGTCTGTGCAGTCATTTTGAACTACCTGTTGCCATATCTGTCTCCATCACCAGCCTGCGATGGCAAAGGAGAGACCGTGATATTTCCTCCATGGAGCCCAGGATCCATGAGAATGGGGTTGGTCCCTCAGGCCCCTGAGGGCTGAAACAAGACTACTCTGTTCAGAAGGTTCTGGATCCTGGCCCAGAAGCACCTGCATGAGTGGCCAGTCAGTGGGAGATTCACTGCTGACCCTGAATGGAGAGTCAGGACCCCCATGGAGACCATTGCTTGGATCACATTCTCAGTGCCCTCATCATCCAATTAGAAGTCTATAAGGACTAGGATGGGGTATCATTCATCTCTGTAACCCCAAAGAATCTAAAGCAGCATCAGACATGGAGGACACATCCATCATGGGTACTTGATCAAATAATCAAAACTGTATAGATCAGCCAGTCCCTGGCAGCATTGAGCCTCTCTGGCCACAGCAGGGACCAGCTCCAAGCAAATATAATGAGAAGCATCACAGTAAAGCTAGGTGTATAGCACAGGCAGCCTGGTCCACATTATCAAAGGCAGAAGAAACGAGGATGCTCCCCAGGGACATGAAATGAAGCAAGAGAAAGGCAGAGTTCTAAAGAAGAGGCCTGGGTGCTGAGCAGGAGAAAGAAGCTGGGATGGAACGGGAGGCAGATCATTTGTTCCCACAGAAGAGAACCTACTGAGGGCCGAGGCTGAACTTGGTTGATAGAGTACTTCCTTGGCACACACAAAGCCCTGGGTTCAACTCCCAGAACTGTATAAACTGAGTATAGTGGTTGGCATTTGTAATCCTAGCACTTGGAAGGTTAGGGTAGGAGCGGTCCAAAATTCAAGGTCCTCTCAGCTACATACTGAGTTTGAGGCCAGACTAGGCTACATGCAGCCCTGTCTCAAAAGGGTGAAGGTGGAGGCTGGGGATGGCTGGGTAGGTGATATGCACAAGCATGGGGATCTGAGTTTGGGAACCCAGTAACCATGTAAAAAGTGTCACAGTCCTGTAATCCCAGTGCTAGGCAGGCCAAGACAGGCAGATCCTTGGAACCCGCTGGCTAGCCAGCCTAGCATAACCAGATCTCCAGTTCCAGTGAGAAACGCTATCTCTAAAGCTAAGGTGAAAAATAATTGAAAAAACACCTAACATAGACCCCTGACCTGCACCCAAAGACACCCACAGATAAACAATGGACAGACACACACACACAGACACACACGACTGTTAGGATCCCTATGTTGCTAAGAGCCACAGACCAACTTTCCCCCTTCCCACATATGTCACAGAAAGTTGGGCAGAACTCTCCAGAGTGTATTTTTCTAAGAGAGCTGGCTAGCTCCAGTCCCTGGGCTCTTAAGATCACAGAGCAGAAGGGACCAGGCAGGGAATGGCTGGGAGTGGTTACCATAGGCTGTGCTGCGGGTAGAGCCACACACCTGACTGCTGCTCTCTACATGCACCGTCCCCATCCCCTGCCCCCCCAGGTCCCCCAGGAAGCATCACCTGCCCTTCTGAGGACAAATGATAAAGGGTCAGCACCATGATGGAGAGGAACAGGGGCTGTGTGGGAAGCAAGAGAGGGTGCCTTTCTGTCCCTGGAGAGGTCTTGGAATGGGGCAGTTGCCTAACTAAGCACTGTGTCCTCGGTTCCACAGAAGACAGAGTGTTCACATAGAGATCAGAGGAGGAAAGGCATGGCACCCCAGCAGTTTCCCAGAAGAACCTGCATGCCTAGAAGTAACAGCCAGCTTCCCAGACCTGCTTGGCTTTCCTGTTCCTTCCCTGGAGGACAGTATCTTTCATGGCCAGGCCTGGGGAAAGCCATCCCTCAGAAAGGACATTTGTAGTCACCCTGAGGCTGAGTACAGGTGGGTGAGAAGTGGGCCTAGTCATTCAAGTTTTCAAAGCATGTCTGGACTGATAGAGGGCTGGACAGGATCAGATTTCCCAGAACTTCTTTCAAGAAGCATTCTGTAAGTGACTCATGAAATTCATTGTTAAAATTCCTTAAGTGGGTATGGTGGAGGTGTGGCCGGGTAGGGTTGAGAAGCAAGACACACATACACACACACACACACCCCTGGAGGGGCCTGCTCACAAAAGTCAAAGTGGCTCAGTAAGTGTTTCCCCAGGAGAGTGGAGATGTGTAAGTCTGAGCAGATCCCCAGTCTCAGCCACAGAACACACTTTCAAAGCTACTTTAGCAACCAGACCCTCCACTTGCCTGTGCACCCCCACAGCTGCTCCTCTACTAGCACCCTCACGGCGCTGGTGTGACAAGGTGTCCAGACTGTTGCCTGCCTGGGATGTCCATGTATTAGGGTGAGTCAACTAAGCCCATTGCTGTGCAGGACCCAGAGCCTCTCTGAAATACAGTATGCCTTTAGGTGAGCCTGCACCAGAGAGTCTCCGAGGCAGGCACTGAGTGGCCAACACTCTCCAGAGCCAGAAAATTCTGGAGTAAAAGCACAAAGCACTCTACCCCCAGAGGAGAGGAACAAAGCCTTTGGAACAATAACAAGGGTGCTGGCTGTGGGTGTCCTGGGGGCTGTCCCACTGAAGGGGAAGTGACCTACATTCTGACTGCAGCCAGCACAGATCCATAGGGGTAAGGCAGCTTATCTATAGTCACGGTGATGAAGGTTTGTGACAATGGGAACCAGCTAGTGCCACCTGAGATAAGGCTGGGGGAACAGTGCATTCCACTTAAGTGTTTGTTAAATAAGCACCTGCTACATACTTGGTGCTATACCATGAACTGTATATATTCCCCCATTTAATGCTCACAGCAACCCTTAAGAAAGGAACTACTGATGGAGCCATCAAAGCATGGGGCAATAAGAGGACACACCCACAGTTACATTGGCCATTAGCAGCGATGTGTGACTCAGTCTCTCCCTTAAAACAAGACACCTTTCAAAGTCTAGGCTCATGCAGTTCTCCGACCCTCACCTCTCTTGCCAGTTTGCTGGAGAACAGCTGTCCACACTGAAAGAGGCTGCCGGTACCATTTCCGTGTGCCTACTGCCCCCTCTGCAAGCCAGGAGCACATGGCTCAGTGGCCCGAATATATCAAATAGCAACAAGGCCCACAAGTCGGCAAGTAGCAGCCCCCTCTCATTCCTCTTTCCCGAGAGCTGGCAGAGCTACCACCTTGGCAGCTTTTGCAGCCTCCACCCTAAATACCAAACGGCCAGCATTTATAGTAAGAAAAGACACCTGAATGATTCACAACAGGCAAACAACTGTGCCTTGTGACAGGCATCTGAGTATCAAAGGAGAAGACTGTTGTCCAGCTCCCATCTCCTCACCCCTGGTACAGAGGTGTACTGGTCCCAGTTCATCCTTCACTTGCCGTCTTCATCTCCCCGATATTCCAGATGGCCAGCCCCAGGCTTCTGCAATCCAAAGTCAGTTCCACCTGCCTCTGGCAAGCATCAAGCTACCACAAACATCCCCTCGATTAGGTCTACTTGGGGCTAGTGTTAACAGCAGTGTGTTGCCTCTGGATACAGCCTATCCAACAGCAGAGGGGACAGTTAAACCTTGCCATTGACAAACCAAAGAGGGGAGCTGAAAATTGATGGGCCATGCTCAATTTGGCTGTGGCTTCCCCTGTAAGCAATGCCAAACCCATTCTGCACACCCACAGAAAACCCCGAGAAGAGATATTCAAACACAGACCTTTTGCTAAGCCCGCTGCCCTGGTTCAGGGGCTAAGTCAGGATGGCTCCCAGCTCAGATCCAAGGCCTAAAGGCTAGGCTAGCAGAGGGGGAAAGGTGAAAGCCAGGGCTGCAACCGCTGGCAGAGTCCTTACCTTCCTCTCTGTAGGCGTTGCAGCCAGTTGTTGCTGCTTGGCGATGTTCTCCGACAGGCACCAGCACACTCTCTTCTTCTGCTCCTGTGAGTGAGCCTCCAAAGTGAATAAGCACTCTGCCTTCTGACGTCAGGGAGAATAAAGAAAGGAATGGGTGGTCAGGGCTGCTCCCTGACTCAAGGGGCTCCAGGGCCCAAGCCCATCCCCTAGGCTCCAGAGGGCGAGGCTGCAGTAGGGATGGGAGCATCGGCTAAGAACAACAAATGCACACCAGTCCCTGGTGACATTGAGGTAGTCAGAGGAGCAGGGAAGTAAGGCCATCTGGGAGCCATGGGGCCACTGTTTGGGTAGGGAAGGGAGGCAGTGGCTCTCTACACAGTGGAAGCCTGTGGAGAGCTACAGGACAGAGGGTGAGGTCACCCTTGGAGCAGGCAGCACAAGGCAGCTGCTGGGGATCACGTGAGGAAGCCAAAGTACCAAGCCCTTGAGCTGGCACTCCCTGTGGATACAGGACTCTCCCTCCAGACCATGGAACCCCCATCTTTCTCACTGCACCCTCTTCAGATTACAAGCCGAGATTAGCTGGGTTGGTAATAGGGACAGACCTGGAGTCCCTTGCCAAAGTGTAGTATGGGCAGTCACAGGTCCCCCTACAGCCTTAACACTACCCAGCACCTGAGCTAGGTCTCTCATTAGCTGCTGTGCAATATTAGTCTGGCTGTCATTTGCATCTTGCTGATGACAAACACGTAGAAGGCCCTCTTCATCTAGGCCTGGCACAGTGGTGAGGTTTGGTGAGCTCTGGCTGCCTAGAAAAACTTCCATGATGACAACAGGCTCAAGGTACCAGTCAGCCCGCCCCTGAAGCAGTCAGGGCATTCATGGAGCAGGATGGGGCAGGTTCAAGAGCACAGATCTTCAGAGATCTGTTGTCCTCCTCCCCAACTGGGTTCTGGGATTAGAAGAAGATGACAAGTCCTTCACCCTGCTGGTGATAATATTCAGCTAAGGAGCTATGAGCTGGGGGAGAAAGACCGGGTATCGGCCCAGTGTCTCCATTATTTTGCAGACCTGGTTTGGATGCCAGCTTTGCCACTTCCTAGCTGCCAACCTCTAGAAAGCCAGAAGCTTTCTATAAAACCATGGCACTGCGTCCACCCTGGAACTATAAAGCAATAAGGACTGCCACAGGCCTTCAACACACAGTAGTACTGCTAATTCTCAGATTCAATGCTCAGAGACACCGCCCTTCAGGGCGGGACACCTCCCATGCTATGTCCCTGGAGTGTTTGCCCTCCTCTCATGCTGCAAAATACCCAGAAGCTTTCTTCCTAAAAGCACCAAGGGAGAGGGGGCTGAGAGGATGAGCTTTGGCAAGCCCACGCTTCCACTTAAAGGCAGGTCCCTCCACTCCTACCTGCTGCTGGGCAAACAGAGCCTCGAGATTCCCCAGGGGTAATCCCAGTGAGCAGTGGGCCCCCTGCTTCCTGTATTCTGTGTTCCCCTGGGGGTGGGGGTAGACGGAGAAGGTCCTTTCCAGCTTGGAAATGTCATTGCTTTATAAACAGCCCAGCCTGATCCTCCAGCCCTGCTCTTAGCTCACGATCTGGCCTTCTGAATATCCTCCACTGAACTGATCAACTTTTAATCAACTCTGTCATCTGTGAGCGCGTTTTCCTCTAGGCAGCTTCACAGAGAAGCAGAGGACATGGATCCCTCATTCTTATTACTGTGGTGATGAGGAGCAAACCCGAGTTCGTGTGCACGATAGGCAAGCACTCTACTCCCAGCCCTTGATTTTTTTTAAAAAAAGATTTATTTATTTCATGTATATGAGTATGCTATCACTGATACACCAGAAGAGAACATCAGATCCCATTACAGATGGTTGTGAGCCACTGTGTGGTTGCTGGGAATTGAACTCACGACTTTTGGAAGAGTAGCCACTGCTCTTAACTGCTGAACCATCTCTCCAGCCCCACACCCCTTTATTTTTTTTTCTTTTTCCTTTCTTCTTTCTCTTTCCTTTCTTTCTTTCTTCCTTCCTTCCTTTCTTTCTTTCTTTCTTTCTTTCTTTCTTTTTTTTTTGATGCTTTAGCTCAGGCTGGCCTGGAACTCACTGTGTAGTCCAGGCTGCCCAGGAACACATGATCCTCTTACTACCTCTGGACTATAGACATGTACTTCCATGCCTAGTTGGGGTGTGGATTGTGATTCCCCTTTATGGAAGGGGAAAACCAAGGTTCAGAGTAGCCAAGGACTTCTCTGAGTCTGCAGCCAATGAATCAGAGAGAAACACTGAGCCAGGAGGAGCTGCCTGCTACGATTCCATCTCTGAGCTCTGCAAGATGACATTTCCTGGTAAGGCTTCTACACCCCTTTGCTGGCAGGATTGCTCTGTCTCACAGCCTGGAGGCCACAAGAATGTCATGCCATCGAAGCAACTGTTTGTGAGTCAGAGGGCTCTCTAGCGGTGGTAGTCACTAGCACCTTTTTGTACAACTGTTTACTGCTCCAACATGGCAAATCTCTTCCTACAAAGGCACAAGAAAGCCTCTCGGAACAGCCAGCCTCCCTACCCCAATCCTGAACTGACCTCCATAGCACCAAGTTCTTTGCCAGCTGTGCCTTGGTATTCCGCCCAACAGCCTTACAAGGGACAGCTGTGGTCATTCTGTTTTACTAGACCCTCAAAAACCTCTTCCCAGGAAGGGCCTGAGGCTCTCACCTGAGGCAGCCACCAGGCCATTTGTAATATCACATAGAATTCATACGGCAGCCAGAAACTGAGCCCAGAGCCTCCCTTGGAATCTCCTTCGGAGAGTGATGTTCCAGGATCAGGGATGGTGACCTTACTGTCAGTTTTAGCAGCAGAAGGCAAGACTGCATCTGACAGCTTGAAACTAAAATCTGCCACAATGCTGGAGAACCTAGAGGACTCCCTCTGCACCCAGGACCTAACCCCTTGAGTTTCCAAGACTGGCTTAGCCAAGAGAGAGAGCCAGCTCCCTGAAGAGAGGCTAAATTCCTACCTGCCCAAATCTGTCCAAACTGAGTCCTCACTGCCTGCCTAGCTGGCCCCACATGTGAACCATCTGTCATAATTCCGAATGTGCGCCAAGTGACCCAATTAGTCAGTTCCAATTCTGACGTGCTCAGTGGCACCAATAGCAGACTCCAGGGTCAAGGCTGTAAGCCATCCTAAAAGGACCTTCATGCTGTCCCCTCAAAGGCACTGGCTTCTGACTGTGGGGTGCTCGACCGTGCACAGGCTTCTCGGCTGCATAAACCTGAGCCCACAGCGCTAGGTGAGGGAGCCAGTACTTGACTGTGACCTCAAATCCAACCAGACTCAAAGCTCCTCTTGGCCTCTTTAAAAACCTAACCTCCTTGCTCCAGGATTAGTTTTATCTTCATAAAAACCCAAACAGCTTCAGCAATAACGGAAGCCTGTTCATTTGCCATGACAAGCGTGTTCCATTTTGTTCTCTCCCGATGAACCAGGAAGGCAGGGAGGCAGGGAGGCAGGGAGGCAGGGAGGCAGGAAGACCTTGCTGCCACCATTTCTCCTATGAGATCACTAAGACTCTGAGAGGTCAGATCTTAAGGAGACCCTGACTGAGGCCAGAACCTGTGATCTTGTCAGGTCTGTATAACCATGTAGCTATGTTACTTGGGAAGTGAGATAGTCTGCCAGGCTGTCCTTTTAAAAGATGAGTGAATCATTATGAAACCTCTAATGGAGGGTAAATGAACATGAAAAGCCCTTCTTCCTGTTCTAATCTAATGACCAGTTAGCTGCCACCCACTGAGCATGCTCAGAGCTAGGCTCAGGGCTAAGTGTTTTAGATGCATTGTCTTATTGACACTCACTCCAACCCTTCAAGTAAGACCATACTGCCTGTGTCAGGAGTGTGCCACCTGCCCTGATCCCTCAAGGAATGGCACAGCCAAGATGCAAGCCTACATCCTCATTACCAAAACCAGCTTCTTCAGTGAATGGAGAGTCAGTGCCTCATTGGGAGAGAGAGAGAGAGAGAGAGAGAGAGAGAGAGAGAGAGAGAGAGAGAGAGA